CCTCCTCCTCCTCCTCCTCCTCCTCCCATATTAATATATTTTTATCATCTTTATTGTCCCTCTTATTATTATGATTTGGTTTTATCATCATTTTTTACATCATTCTTGTTATTATTTCTTTTTTTCTGCCATTCAAATACAAGACGTGTTGACCACTATGTACACTATCACTATGTATCGAACAAGGAAATGTCCAGTAGAGATGATGAGTTGTGTGTCATCTCGTTCACTCATTGCTCAAGCCAAGAGTCACAGTTTCAACTATTGCCATGTCTTGTTCAGCTTGCTTTCTTGTACTTGGGAGGTTTGCAGGATCCTATAAACATTTAATGGTTTTTTCTTCTGTTCTGCATGTTTCTTTTTAATTTCCTTACTAGACTTTTTTTAATGTATTGATTGAACACACACCCCCCCCCAAAAAAAAAAAAAAAAAAAAAAAAATTAAAAAATTAAAAAAAAATTTTTTTAAAATATATATAATTCCTTAGATTAGAATAATGGTTAGGCGCTTCGCTGTCGCATGCAGGAAACTGGAGTACAACTCTCGAATGGGGATAAAACTTTTTTGAGTATCTCCGTCTTTCTGCTGCGATGTCGTGTCCTTCTCAGCCTGTGCTGGCCTTGACAGACAGAAGCCCACCTCCCAAATGATCTAACTTGTATAGATGTGGACGAAAAACACCTATATTAAAGAGAAATTCTTTTTGACCGATTTGAGTTGCAAGTGCCGTAAAACTCTTGCAAAAAAACTAAAGGAACAATTATAATGTTCCGGAGTGGGATCCTTTCTTGAACTTCCAAGCAGCCACGGAGCATTTCTTTAAATAAGTTAACAAATATAGATAGATTCTATCTCCTAGTGCTACATGACCACAAAGTGTTATAAGCTAACAGATATTTCTTTGTGTAATTATAAGTTAACAGATATTTCTTTGTGTAATTATAAGTTAACAGATCTAGTGTCACATGACTATATAATATTATAAGCTAACAGAAATCTCCTAGTATTGCCTGACTACAAATTATGAGCTAACAAATTAAATATCTCAGTGTTCCATGACTACAAATTATAAGTTAACAAATCTAGTGTTCCATGACTACAAATTATGAGCTTACAAATTAAATATCTCCCAGTGTTACATTAGCTAACAGATATCTCCTAGTATTACAAGACTACAAATTATAAGTTTACATAATATCTCCTAGTGCTACCTTACTACAATTTATAATTTAACAGATCTAGTGTTACATTACTATAAAATATCTTAAGCTAACAGATATCTCCTAGTGTTCCATGACTACAAATTATAAGTTAACAAATCTAGTGTTCCATGACTACTAAAAATTATGAGCTAACAGATATCTCCTAGTGTTCCATGACTACAAATTATGAGCTAACAAGATTCTCCCAATGTTACATTAGCTAACAGATATCTCCTAGTTTTAAATGACTACAAATTATAAGTTAAGAAATCTAGTGTTCCATGACTACAAATTATAAGCTAACATATGGTCGCTTTTAAGGACAAGCAGGCTAACCCAGATTTCGTGGGTTTCCAGGAATCTTGACCTACACCAAAAGTGGTCATTGCCCTACTTGTAGGAGAGGTTTGGTTTCATTGGTGTGTATATTTGTTTGGTTATATTATAGAGAAAACTGTCCTTGATTTTTAAAGAAACTGAACAAGGGGCTAGAACTTTACCTTCGATTTTCTTAAACCCGCATTTTTCGGGATAGTCCCCTTGTGCTTAAAAGCGACCGTATCTAGTGTTCCATGAATACAAAGTATATAAGTTAATAGATCTAGTCGTCTAGTGTCAGGACTACAAATTATAAGTTATCCTGTCCCTGTCGTTTTATGCAAGAAAAGTTCTGAAATTATGCAAACTGAGCTAAAAAATGTGAAATTATGCGATTCTGTAAATTTTAACAAAGAATGGTAAAGGGAAATAATAAGAAATTATGCCAAAGAAATGATAAAATTTTGCCAAATTATGCGGGGTGCATAAATCCACGGGGACAGATCTAGTGTTACATGACTACAAATTATAAGTTAACAGATTTCTCCTAGTGTTACATGACTACAAATTATAAGTTAACAGATATCTCCTAGTGTTACATGACTACAAATTAATTATAAGTTAATATTAGTCTTACAGTACCTGACTAAAATGTTATAAGTTAACAGATCTAGTGTATAAATTATAAGTTAAAAAGTCTAGTTTCACGGTACCTGACAAAAATTGTATAAGCTAATAGATATCTTAGAACTATGAGGCTACACATTATAAGCTAACAAATATCTCCTTGTGTTAAATGACTACAAATTATAAAATTTAACTGATATCTTAGAGTTATGAGACTACAAATTATATAAGTTAACTGATATCTTAGAGTTATGAGACTACAAATTATATAAGTTAACAGATATCTTAGAGTTATGAGACTACAAATTATATAAGTTAACAAATATCTTAGAGTTATGAGACTACACATTATATAAGTTAACAGATATCTTAGAGTTATGAGACTACAAATTATAAGTTAACAGATATCTTAGAGTTATGAGATTACAAATTATATAAGTTAACAGATATCTTAAAGTTATGACACTACAAATTATATAAGTTAACTGATATCTTAGAGTTATGAGACTATAAATTATATAAGTTAACTGATATCTTAGAGTTATGAGACTACAAATTATAAGTTAACAGATATCTTAGAGTTATGAGATTACAAATTATATAAGTTAACAGATATCTTAAAGTTATGACACTACAAATTATATAAGTTAACTGATATCTTAGAGTTATGAGACTATAAATTATATAAGTTAACTGATATCTTAGAGTTATGAGACTACAAATTATAAGTTAACAGATATCTTAAAGTTATGAGACTACAAATTATTAGCTAACAGATATCTCCTAGTGTTACAGGTAACACATTCCATCAATGTTCAACATGAGAAGCCGACTGATGTTACCATTATTTTCCCTTTATTACCCCTCATGTTCCCTGTATAATTTTTGTAATGCATGTTGGGTCTTATGGGTTGAAATATCTGTGGTTTAAAGATATAATATTATTATTATGGTCTTCTTTGCTGTCTCCCATTTAAGGAAAACCAATTTTGTGGGATTTTTTTTTCTCAGTTACTGAAGTTGGATGTCTTTGGTGTGGACCGCTTCCTCGACTTGAGGTCATTTGTGACTCACTGTTGTTTAAGACTGTTTGTGGGTGGTTGGTGGGCGCTCTGCTGTGATTTTGTCCTTTATTATTTATGTGTCCTAAGAATCTCAATTGTCTCTTTCTGATGGTTTCGATATAATCGAGATCTTTAGCAGCCTGTCACTTCTCTCTATGAAATTGTTTTGCTAAACTTTACACAGGCCATTGTTCTTTTATTCTGTGACATTTCACGACTCTCTTGGCGATAGAGAGTGATAAGTTAGCTTTGTCTTCTTCTTTTTCTCCTCCTCTTTCTGCTTCTTAAGAAATAGAACTGTGTTGACTCATTTACCCTCCCCCACCTCCCCTCCTCCTTCTTCTTCTTCTTCCTTTTCTTCTTCTTCTTCTTCTTCTTCTTTTTCTCCTCCTCTTTCTGCTTCTTAAGAAATAAATCTGTGTCTCATTTACCACCCTCCCCTCTCCTCCTCCTCCTCCTTCTTTTTCCTTTTCTTCTTCTTTTTCTTCTTCTTCTTCTCTTCCTCTTTCTTCTTAAGAAATAAATCTGTGTTGTCTCATTTACCACCCTCCCCTCCCTCCTCCTTCTTCTTCTTCCTTTTCTTTTTCTTCTTCTTCTTCTTCTCCACCTTTTTCTTCTTCAAAAATAAATCATATGTGTTGCCTCATTCACACCCCCCCC